GTTCTGGGACTCTGCTGACACAGGACACCATGGTGGGGAGAGGGACTGGGGGGCTGATAGCCCTCTCAGGGCTTTGTCTCCACACCTCGCTTTCTTCCTTAGATGCCGCCCGCTAAGTGTTCCACTGTCTCTTAATAGTGCCATAGGTGGAGACCAAACTTGAATGCAAGACAAACCCAAATCATTTGTCACCCTATATGTTCTATGAAGACTATTTACTTACTATCTTGATCCATACAGGAAAAAGTCTGCCTAGTTCTGTAATAGAGACCACAGCCTTACTAATCCCCAGTCCAGAGAATTAGGGCTATTCTGTAATTGACTGGCTAAGTTTTTCATCCCTTGATAAACAACCTCACCTTGTCTGACAGAAAGCAGGCCTATCACAAACCACCTTTTCTCTTCGCAAGGCCTCACATGCACAGCTGTGCAATAACTTGGGTCTGTCTGTACCAGAGATAGGAAGATTATACCCTTTGGCTAAAGTGACAGTATATAAGACCCCAAGCCATGCGCCCCCTCCCCCAACCCCCTCCACCTCCCATCTCCCCACCCCGCACTGACATGGAAAAGATGAATACATAAGAGCATCATAGTGCTGTGGGCTATTAGGCTGGTGTGGTCCATGGTTAACAGTCAACTCATATAGGAATGATTTATACACGCCAAGCTCAGCAGATAATGTTTATACATGTTATTTCATCTAAAACTGAAAACAACGTAAAGGTAAGGGTTTTGATTGTACCAGTTCATAAGCAAGGGAGCCACATCTCGGAGATTTAGAAATTTCCAAAAGTGGGCTGGAGAGATGGCTCAGCAGTTAAGATGACTTGCTGCTCTTGCAGAGGATCCTGCTACCCACATGGTGGCTCACCAACATCTGTAACTCCAGTTATAGGAGATCTGATGCCCTCTTCTGGACACTGCGGGAACTCCATACATCTCATACACTTAATATAGGCAAACACATGTAATAGGCAAACACATGTAAAATAGATGTTTAAAAAGGAAAAGGAAAGAAAGATAGGTCCAAAAGGTCATTTTGTCAATGGTGAAGAGGAAATTCCAGTTGAAGTCCAAATTCCAAAGGCCATGTATTTCAACATGATCCAAAGGGCAGTAACCTCAGGAGAACAGCAACTCTCTATACTTCCAAGATAAATCTGGACTGGGGCTCTTACTAATCTGGTGTGGGTTACATGTCATCCTGAGCTAGTCCCTGTGGTCAGTGTGCCAGGTGATTAGCTAGGCCTGGTCACATGTCCAGCTGGGAATATTGAGGTAGAGCCATTTTCTCCTAACGGCAGACTTAACAGTAGCATCACCAGCATGTCCAATAGCAAGGGCTTAGGAAGCATGATCAAAGCTCCAGATTCAGGGCTCAGTACTACACAGCTGGGCAAGTGGGGCAGTTCTTTAACTAGAAAGGTATGGGAGTGAAGGAGAAATAACAATTTCCATAGTAAAGTGTGTATAGGGCAGAGGTTCAAAGACTAGGCACCTGTTTAGCATTCCTGGGTGCCAGGCATCGGTAAGAAGCCATTGTGAATGCTTTGCATTTCAGTCTTGCAAAGTGGAAACTACTAAGATAGAAGAGTTTGCTCTAACATATTATCCCTACCCCTCACTGCCTGTGAGTACTGTATATGTGGCAAACACCCCACGTGCCTAAACATTTTCCCCACCTAGAAATTCTTTTTTTTTTATTTTAGGGAAATTATGGTAGTATAAATAATTTGAAGACTGTAGAAATACTGCTTAAAATTGTGTGAAACTGAAAGTAACCTGAGCACCCCCCATGATGGTTTTTATTATACCCATCAATACATAGTATATTACTAGCAAATGTGGTGTTTTATGACATGTTAGTTATATAATAAGTTATCAGTGCATGCAATGACTTTTTAAAGTTCAGTTTTAAAAACTATATGTATATGTGTATACAGTGTGTGCACATGAGTGTAGGAGTTCACAGAGGATGAGGCATCACACGCCTTGGAGCTGGAGTTGGAGGAGCTGTGGGTGCTGGGAACTGAAACTGATCCTCTGTAGGGCAGTGCATGCCTTTTTGCACCAAGCCATCTCTCTTGTCCCTCTTTTCTTTGTTATTAAAACATTGAGACAGGGTCTCACTATAGCTCATGTCAATCCTCCTGCCTCACCTTCCTGAGGACAGGCCTGTGCCACCAGGCACGCTCTTCATTTCTTGGATTTTAAGAGCCAACGAAGCCTGTTTTGCTGTTGTTCATATTAAGTTTCTATTGCTTTCAGGCAAACAGCCTTGGCATACACATGGGAAAAAATGGTCTGTGAATATCTGTCTTTGAGCTTAATTTTAGTCAAAAGGGTTGGGAGGTGGACGGATGTTTACAGTTGCAATTGTCCTTTTGTCAGAGCAGAAACAAAGCTGGTGCTGGCTGTTTAACTGAAGACAGTAAAGGGGCCAGCAAGATGGCTTGCTGCCAAGCCTGATGACCTGAGCTCAGCCCCTGGAACCCACCTGGAGAACGGAGAGAACCAACTCCCATAAGTTGTCCCCACGTGCACCGTGACAGATGGGGAAGAATCACTCGTGGAAATGTGAATATAACTTCAGCTGTGCACAATATGGTTTTTAAATTTTGTTAGACCTGATAATGGCATTAACATAATGGAAACACACCTTTAATCCTAGCTCTCAGGAGGCAGAGACAGGCAGATCTCTGTGAGTTCGAGGCCAGCCTGGTCTACAGAGTGAATTCCAGGACAGCTAGGACTACATACTCAAGACTCTGTCTCAAAACAAAGCAACCAAACTAAACCAAAGCAACAAGAAGAATCCCACACATAAGTGTGGGGTGAGGTGATCCACACCAGTAATCTTAACACTTGGGAGGCAGATCACTGTCTACATAGGGTGTTCCAAACCAGCCAGGGCCACATAACAAGGCCCTTCTCAAACAAATAAACAATGTCCTTTTAAAAGATGCACACTGAACTTAGTGTCATAGTACATGACAAGAATCCTAGTGACCCTGAAGCAGGATACATGGTGAATCCAAGTCCAGCCTGATGTACACAGGACCTCAAAAAATGGGGGAGGGGAAGGAAAAAGATACACTTTGAATTCTCTAGGGACAATAGTCAATAGTGCCTAAGATTTACTTCTAAGTAGTCTGGAAGAAACAAGAAACACATCAATGAGATATGAGGCGACTTGTGTGCAGTGTGTGTGTGTGTGCGTGTGTGTACACACATACACACACGCACACACACACACACACACACACACACACACACACGTGCTTTCAAGATGGTTTCTCTTTATCTCTGGCTGTCCTGGAACTCACTCTATAGATCAAACTGGCCTCAAACTCAGAGAAATCACTTGCTTCTCAGATCAAAGGTGTGGTGTGTATCACTACCCCCCTGGCTTTATCTCTGTGAGTTCTAAGCCAGCATGGTCTACACAGAGTTCCAGGCCAGACAGGACTACTCAGTGAGACCTACCCCCTGCTACACATCTAGAATGGTAACTGCAGTTTCTGATCTGTGTTTACTATACTCACTGTACAATGAACTAGTTTACCCCCTAGATAGTTGGTGTGTTCCTGTATGGCTTCCTGTGATGAGTGGAAACACAGAGCGTTTTCCTGTCCACTTAGCTATCAACTAGCTGTGACTCCCACCGCTCAAACACATGCCTCCATCCCCACACTAAGGTGGCCTTGTGGCAAATGAGGTGTATTGGCACAGCACTGTCCCAACCCCTTTTCTATGGGGGAGTAGCCTCAAAGTAACAGAAATCTGCCTGCCTCTGCCTAAGTGCTGGAATTAAAGGTACACCCACCGCCTGGCTGGGACCATGAGATTTTTATATGTGCAATGGGGCAAGGCAATCTCTACATTTACCAAAGTAAATATTAGAAATGGAGCCAGTTTCCCTACAACATACACAGGATAGTCAGTTTCTCCGCTTAAACTATGGTAAGTAGACTCCTAATGACTCCAAGTAAGAGCCCTAATTTTGTGTGTGTGTATACTTTCTGAATTTTAATAAATATATAGAAAGCTTCGTTTTGGAGAATTTTTAAAATTGTAAGTCACACTTCAAAACTGATGTGGATTGGGAAACCTGGGCAAAACCAATAAAATATCTTGTTTAGAGACCCTTGTCCTGGCTTCCCCAGCTCCTAACCCCACCTCTCCCAGCCCTGTGAAGATTCTACCTTTTTCTTTTTTCTCTTCTTTTCTTTCTTCCTTTTCTTTCTTTCTTTTTTGTTTTTGTTTTGTTTTGTTTGTTGTTTCTGTTTTTGGAGACAGGGTTTCTCTGTGTAACAGCTCTGGCTGTTCTAGACCTCACGCTGTAGACCAGGCTGGCCTCGAACTCAGAGAGATCCACCTGCCTCTGTCTCCTGAGTACTGGGATTAAAGACATGTGCCACCACTGCCAGGTTCTATCACTTCTCATTTCATGCCAGCAGAGGTTAAAATCCACATTTGTGTTAATGTCTTGTTAGAGCAGGGAATGGTGGTGCATGCCTATGATCCGATCCCAGCACTTAGGAAGCGAAGGGAGAAGGAGCAGGAGTTCAAGGTCACCCTTAGCCTACAGTGAGTATGAAGTCAGCTTAGAGTACACAGCAAGTAGTATTATGCTAGGCAGCCAGAGAGCAAGACGCTGATCCAAAACAAAAGCACAAAGAAAGATGCATGAAGCGTCTCCAGCTCAGCCACTCCGTCTTTAGGATCAAACCCTAACCCTAACCAGAGCAGTTGGCTGGAGTTTGGGTTGTTTAGACAGATTTGCTGTTCAGGACAAACAAAGAATTAGTGACACCCACTCACCTATTTGCTCGTTTGGTTTTTGTTTTGTTTTGAGACAGGGCCTTACTATGTCAACCAGCCTGCCTCCGCCTCCCTCGTGTTGGGGTTAAAGTGCATGCTGCCTCCCTCGTGCTGGGATTAAAGTGCATGCCTCGCTCTCATCCCCACTCAACCTGTAGATTTAATTGACACAGTTGAACAGTCACATATTTTATTGTTCAGATCTCCCCAGCACAGCTATTACAAGGACCTCTGTCAGGGAGGCCCGAAGAAGTGAGAACAGGCAGGTCTGCACGGGTGTGACGGCCCCAGGTCCAGCCTGGCCCAGGCTTCCACCGCACCACCCACACACATCTCTGGAGGAACAGAAACCTCCCAGTGTAGACTCTTAAGGGAAACCCCAAACGACAAACTTTCTTGAGTGATGCTGGAACAGAAAAGGCAAGGGGACAGAATCTGTAGAAAATCCAAACTCCATAACCAGTATTCCTACTTGAAGTTATTAATCTCTTAGCACACCTAAGCTTTTATTTAAAAAGCAAACCTAGCATAATTATCATCTTTTTAAAAAAACATGTAAACATTGCAAAATTTGGAGGATTATTTATAATCTGAAGAGACTTATAAAAATTATTGGACTTGTTAGGACTATAAATACTAACCCTTCCACCCCCAATGAAAAAAGCAATTGTTACAAAAATATAAAAAATATACTAGCTTCTAGTTTACCTTTCATTGAGGAATCTCAGAACATTGGAGCACATCTGGTTTATATGCCTAGCAAGCATACATGCTACCTTGTCAACTTTTTAAAGTTCCAGGATATTCCATTTTGTTAAGAATGCGGCTGCTTCCTTCACAGTAATGTAATGCTCATAAGTGTTAACTGAACCCCCTGCATAGACCCAGTATGGAATCATGGCACAGGACCTCACTTTGCTCTCTCTAGCTCCTTGCGCATCCCCAGACTTACTGGGTCCCCAGGCTCCTGAGCTTCCCTCGCTTCTGTTGGGAAGAAAACCTTGGCCGGGTGCTCTCTGCCGGTGTGCACGTGGCTCCACCCAGGTGCACTAATTCAAGAAATATGCTAACCTGGTGGCTGCTACTCTGGTACTTAGAGGGATAGCTGATGACACATGGATGCCATAGGACACTGTCCACAGATCTGGGAGGGAGGCAGGAAACTGATGCGGAGAGAAATACACTGACTTAGATTGCGCAGTCAGTGTACCAGGCATTGTGACCAACTAAAGTTACAAAATGAACCAAATTTAGTTTGAAACAATTTAAAAAATCTGCAAGGGCTTGACTGCCAAATTTTTAAAAGGATCATCACCTCCTACTTTAGGACATTTTCAGCCTTTACTTAGTTCTGCTGCTACCAGCAGAGGGCAATAGGCGCAAAAGCTCAAACAAGCCCTGGGAGAAAACCGCCCCTAGGTAAACCAGTGGGGTGGATCCATCCACAGGCAGAGAATCCTCAGTCACCATGATATTTCCGGGCTCTCCCAGTGACCCTGAAGCCTGGGGAGGCCTTTTATACCTAGGTCTCGGCAAAAGCATGTGCAAAGGTTGGTGTGCTGAGTCATCACCAACTAGACGGCACAGAAGACCCAGCTCAACTGGCAGCACTTTCCAGACAGACACTTCCCCTCAGGACCTCCGGCCTAGGCCACGCCCCCTGCCAATCCTGCCTTCAGTACAATCTAGCCTGGTGTCTGCTGTGACTCCTGTGCCACTACTGACTTCAGTATTCTGGTCTGTGATGTGCTGCCTGTCTCCAGACCAGAATGGCAAGCTCTCTCTGGGTTCTTACTGGATTTATAGATTTACCACGCTGCTAAGGGATCTCACTGCTGATTGTGGGTTTCCAGTCCCAAACACCTGATTGTTTCTGTAGATATGAACTATCTCATCTCAACGCACCCTAGCTGTTCAAAACCCAAAGGAACTTTCTGAACACAACAAAGATAGGTGATTCAGAGAATTCCAGCCACATCTGCTGAGCAAGTTGACTCTACTTTGGTTGCATAAAAAAAAAAGATAAAATAAAAAACAGGGCCTTCAAGACATTGCAAAATCACTGTTTGCTCAGAAGAGAACTCTCAACATCAAGGCACAAAGAGAGAAGTCTCCTGGGGAAAATGATGATGAACTGGGTTGGCGACCTGCAGGAGGTCTGAGGCAGAGTCCATGAGGGAAGGCCTGGGCATTGGCACCAAGACCCTCTGGCGCCTGGGCATCCTCACGAGTATTTCTCCAGGAACTTGAGGTGAAAATCTTTCACCTTATGGAGCAAGGTCTTCAGTTTCTCCACGGGAGGGAGAATTGTCATTCTGTCAGGAAAGAGGAAAGCATCATCAGCCTGGCTGTTCACAGGTTGGGAGGGTGATGAGGTCCCTGTGTGGACACATGGCCCTGCCTTGTTGGATTTGGAGAGAGCCTATCACTTGTGAAACTCTGTCTCCCATAGTCCTTCCTTCCATTCTCACATGGTGCCCAGACGAGCCATGAAGCCCGAGCCTGAGCAACCCTCTTGCCTCAGCCTCCAGGAAGCTGGGAATATAGACACATACCACTGTGGTGGTTTACACACAGGCATTTTTACTACATTGAGACCAGTCCACTAAAGCAATAAACTGGATTGACTCACCAAAACGTATTTTTCATTACTGCAGAAGGCTGGCACCATGGCTTTGTAAGTTGGGTTTTGTTGTTGTTATTTGTTTGTATATCTGTTTTAAGACAGGATCTCCCACGTAGCCCTGCTGTCCTTAGAACATGCTTTGTAAAACAGACTGGCTTTGAACTCACAGAGATCTATTTCCCTCTGCCTCTTTTTTTTTTTTTTTTTTTTTTTTTTTTTTTAATAACTCCTCTTCCTTTCTTCCTCCTTTATAAAACAGGGTTTCATGTGACATTTGCCTATTCTGGAATTCACCCTGTTTCTTAGGCTGGCCTTGAGGTTGCAGCAATCCTCCTGCCTCAGTGTCTTATAGTGCCTGCATTATAGGCACGCACCACCACATCTGGCTCTAGCACCATATTCTGATTAGTATAGAGAACTTTCTAGAACATAACCATTTCCCCGTTTTGTGGTGCTAGGGATTGGATTCAGGGTTTTATGGATGCTAGGCAAATAGCCTGACTATATTCTAACCCGAGAGCATGATCTGATTCTTTTTTTCACTCTTTGGGTGTGCGTGTGTGTCCCAGGACTCGGCTTCTGACAGGAAACTAACCTCAAATCACAGCTTTCACGTCAAAGACATTTCCAGTTGCCACAATACCCTAACCTCTCCCTCCGGTCCTAACCACAGGCTTCCTAACTCAACAACACTTTGGGTGGTATGCTGGGCACAGAGCCCAGGACTCACACTTGTCTTGTGATCTACCACTGAGCTACACTGCAACCCTGGCTCTACATTTTGGATGGATTATAAATCACAGTAGAGAACCCACCAAGGGAAAAAGGGCCAGGTAGGCAGTTTGTCCCTCTTAGGACATAACCCATACCTTTGACTAAGCAAACACTTGGTTCCAGATGCCAGCCACTCATGACATTTCTTTTTTTTTAGCATCTGCTACAAGAGACACTGCCACAGGAGCTATGAAGAAATGATCATATTCTGAACAGAGCTGGCCTTAGTGAGGAACACTTGCCGAAACAGCTCTGGGAATCCGTGTTCACATCTATACAGGGTTAGTTCTGTGTCAGTAAAGTATCATGGCCCATAGTGCAGCCAAGGGACTACAGGGGACCTGTCCTGTGACAGGCTGTTCTGGTTGGTTTTTCTGTCAAATTGACACAAGCTAACGTTATTTGGGAAGAGCTTCACTTGAGAAAATAACTCCATTCTATTGGCCTGTAGGCAAATCTGTGGGGACCTTTCTTGACTGATGATTGATGTAGAAGGATGCAGCTGGCCATGGGTGGTGCCATCCCTGGACAGATGTCTTGGATTATATAAGAAAGCAGGCTGAGCAAGCAATGGAGAGCAAGCAGCAAGCAGGGTTCCTCTGTGGTCTCAGTTTCAGGTCCTGCCTCCAGGTCCCAGCATTGGCTTTCTGTGATCACAGACTGTAACCGTTAAGCCAAATAAGCACTTTTCTCCCCAAGTTGCTTTTTGTCATGGTGCTTTTGATAGTAGCAGAAATCTAACTAAGGCACAGGCTTTGTCCCATGCATCCAGAAGCATGGAGCATGAAAGGGACAGGAAGCAGCCGAAGGACAGAACAGTCTAGGAGTACTTAGAGGAGACGGCTGTGAAATGTCCCTGTTTCCCGTTTTTTCTGACAGGCTCTGAGCTTGCCATGGTGAGATCCACCCAAGGAAAACAGAGGCTCACAACCCTCGGATTCTAAAGCAGGAACCCAAGTTTCCCTCAACAAGCCAGGGACCAACACCACCCACCCCCACGGAAAATATTTTACCTGAAGTGGTAGGTGCCTTCTCGCTGCCCAAAGCCACTGCCAGGCACGACACAGATGCCGGTCTCCTCCAGGAGCTTCATGCAATAAAACATGTCTGGGGCCATCTTATGGGACTGTGAGGGGGAAGGCAGAACTTGAGATTCACCGCTGGCTTTACTCCAGACTGGCACATGTAAAAACCAAAAACAAAGCCAGGGCTGGTTTTGGTTCACACCTATAATCCTAGCACTTGAGAAGCTTAAACAAGAATGCCTTGAATTCAGCACCAGCCAGAGCTACGCAGTGGGGTCCCACCTGGGCTAGAAAGACCTGATGGAAGGGGAATCAAAGCCAGATAGAAACAGAATACAGAATGCCAGGCCCTCTCTTCTGTGATAGAGTCCTTTCTACTCCTGTTCCTGCCTGCTACAAAATCAGGCAGGCTCCCAGGTCACAGTCAGGAATCTGGTTCTGGAGCCTGGACATCTGAGGACACTCCTGATCTTCATGCAAGGGTTCCAGTGTTTCTTGTCCCCATCCCAGGAACTGCTAAACAGTCATTGATTACAGACACCTCTGTGTCAAGTCACACAAAATAAAAAAATAAATAAATCTGGAAACAAGGACCTGGGGTCTAAACCCTGGAGCTACTGCTGATAGAAGGACATATTTCCAGGGCTTGCCCTGACTGTAGACAACTTGCCCATTGGCTGTAATATAAAGAGAAAGACAGACAGACAGACAGACAGACGCACACATGCACGCACGCACGCACAAGCACACACACATACACACACCACACACTGGCTTCTCCTTCCTCTGCTTCCTGATCTCCACCCAGATGTGAGCAAGTGGCCTCTGCTTGTGCCCCAGCATCAAGCGACTCATGCCTTCCCCAGAACAGAAGGCCACACCCACAAACCAGGAGTCAAAATAAATCCATTCTCCCTTACACTGTACCTTGTCAGGTGTTTGGTTGCAGCAACGAAGACAGCAACAAACACAGCGGGTTATATAACAGTCTCTGGGATTCCCAGGTTCTGACACTGGGTTTCTGACTCTGTATCTAGGAATTCCCAGTGTCTAACCAGGGTAGCATGAGGATGCTGCTTTCAGACACAGTACTTTGCCCGTGAGCCTCAAAGTGGGGGTTGGAAGTGCAGGCTCTCAACTCCTTGAAAACCCAAAGTGGTTCTGACTACTGTGAATACCGAGGCGTAGGAATCACTGTTGCAGGATGCAATGGCTGGGGGAAGTGGGGACTCTCATTTCATCCCCATCATCACTATCACACCCCACTTAGGCCCCCCCCTTCAGAGACTGCATGTCTGTTGTTTTAATATTTTTTAAATTTATTTATTTTATGCATATGAGTGTTTTACCTGAACGTACGACTATATACTATGTATAACATGCCTGGTACCCTCAGACATGAGAAGAGGGTATTGGCTCCTCTAAAAACTGGAGTTATGGATGACCATGAGCCACCATGTAGGTGCTAGAAGCCAAACCCAGATCTTCTCCAAGCAGCAAGTATTTAATAGCTGAGCCATGCCTCCACCCACAGAACAGCACCATGGAGGTCCACACTGGACTCTCTCTTGGGTTTGGCCTCATGCTTGTCCTATCACCACCATACTCTGCTGCAGCTGGGACTCTTAAGAAGCTGCCACACAGTCAACTGCGTCTGTCCAAGAGTCCCAAAGAGTCCAGAACTCCTAAGGCTCACCAAAGCAAAACGCCAACCATGACCCAGACAGCTCAAGTGGATCCAGGAAGACAGCCAGCCCTCCACTGACCTGAGCCGCCTCCACAGCCTTGGCAGGAATGAGAATCCGGGGAAAGGCATACATAGCTCCTTGCAAGGGGTTGCACTGAATCCCTGGGACTTGGTTAAACAGATCTTCAGTCAGCTTTGCTTTTTGGGCCAGATTACCAAGAACGAATTCTTTTTCCTGGTGACAGAAAGCACAGGTATCAATAATCCTAGATAAGGCTATGGAAGGTTGCTCTTTCAACACAGAGGTAATAGAACATATTGACAGAGATGAACTGTGCCTGCAGCACTGCAAATAGGGCAAGGGGAAGGACATGGACCGATAGACAGGTCTTTCTGCAGGGATTTTTTTTTTCATTCTTCAATCTGAATGCCCCAGACCCTGATGGAATACCCTAGAAACACTTCTACCAGAGACCATCCGCATCCTGTAATCTAGGGACCATCCCTTTGTAGTCTCTTCAGTGTGGTGTGCATGGACACAGACCCAGACAGAACAGAGTCAGCAGAGCTGGAACAGGGCCAGTCAGGCTCTCTGCAAATGCCACTGTTCAAGAGGGATGGCGTGGTGAGGCCTGAAAACGGGCACGTGAACAAAAGGTGGCACATCCATGCAATGACAAAGAACCCAGGTCTCCATCCCAAAGAGACCTCTGCTCTTCTGGGACACTGTGACAAGTGGAATAAGCCAGGCATAGAAGAGCAAACATTGCATAATTCCACCTCTGTATGTATATGTCAGGGGGATTAATGCTGGTTGCCAGGAGCTGGGAAATGCGAGCATGGGAAGCTATGCACTTACTAGGTCTGACACTTCAATTGGGGGATGATGGAAACGTTTTTGAGGCAGATGACAGAGACGCCTGCACAACAATCTTCCTTTAATGAAACCAAACTTTTTGTTTGTTTAGACAGGGTCTCACTGTAGCTCTGCCTGTCCTAGAACTCCCTATGTAGAACAGGCTGGCCTCACAGAGGTCCTGCTGTTTCTGTCTCCCAAGTGATGGGATTAAAGGCATTCAATGCAGCAGGCTAGAACTGTGTACTTGAAAAGAGCGAAGGCTTATTTATTTGTATTCTACTATAAAAAAGAAAGGGGAGGAGGGCAAATGAGAAGAGGGAGGGGGAGTGTGGTAGTGCATGCCTCTAATCCTTGCCTTTAGGAGGTTGAAGCAATAGGATCTTGAATTAAAAAACAGTTAGGGCTATTAAACCCTGTGTCCTAAAACAAACAAGCAAATCTCCCCCCTTTAATTTCTCAAACTAGAGAAAGAGAGAGAGAGAGAGAGATGAATTTATACCATCTGGGAAACTGACTTTTAGATTCTACAACCTAAAATGGTTTTGCTGTTGTTTTTTAAACTGTGCTGCTATGCCTATCTTACTTCCTTTTCTTTTCAGGTTAGTAACAAAAATGTCTGCCAAACATGGGGCTCTCCTTCTGGGATCCTACCCACTTATGATGTGCACAGATGAGAAAGAAGAGTTCATTCGTTCACACAGAGTCCTCCCACTTCTAAACATACTCTCCGTTGCATTTTTGAACTTAACTCATGAGGGTGGTTCAGCACCAAGAGACATCATGGGTGCCCCTTGAAGCATGGACACGGATGAACACAGACACACACACCGTCAAATGTTTGGCCACCTGGAATGGTGGCTCTCATCTACCATGACCCTGGCAATGGCAGTGAGGTGGCTAGGTCAGGCGGACTCACTCACCCTGCTGAACTGCTCAAAGGACTCCTCCCCTGGGACAGGGGGATTCACAACAATGTCCATAGCAGCTTGTCCAGACACTGGCGGGCAGAGACGAACGGAGAGGAGCTTTACCAACTGGCCTTTGATCTCAGGGTGCAAATTGATCACCTCCATGTAGCCCCCTCTGTAACCACACCTGGAGAGTTGAGCAGAGGGAGCACAACCACCAGTTACAGGAAGATCTCACAAATGCAGCTTGGATGCCAGATTCTGTAATATCACACCATACCCCGAGAACCAAGCAGGCAGCTGTGGCTGAGTTCTTGCAGGATTAGGTAAACAGGTAAAAGGACAAAGACACTTTCCTCCAAGGAAAAGCCAGTGCCCGCCTTCTCTTCCCTTCCTGTCTCTGGGGAGGTGGAGACTCCTGATCCTACAGACAGAGACTACAAGTTGAGAAAGCAGTCCCCAAGGAATGCAGCCTTGTCTTCCTGGTATCTTTGAAGCATTATGTCAAAAATAGTACATTTCTACCCTTTTGGAGCCTCTATATTCTAGGCCATTTTGTTGTAGCTGCTTACTCTGGAATCTAACTCATATACTAGTCTACATCAAATAAAGCCAAGAACAATCTAAGGAGACAGCTCCCTTGACCAAGGCAACCTATTTCTTCAAACTTCGTATACCATTTCTTCTGCCTAGAATGTTCTTCGCCCAAATGTCTCCCTTCTTCCAACTCCTGCCCCACCTTCTGGCATTTCTGCCTCCTCTGAGGCCTCAGTTGTTCTCTGCCACGTGACTTTGCTGCTTGCCTAGTCCTCTGCTCCTCGTAACATACTGGCTGTGTATGGCAGCGTCCTCAGTGCTACAAACTAAAGTACTCAGCAACTACCAGTCAAATAAACAAAGATGGGCCCCAGACTGGCCCTTTGGCCTTATAATTCCCCCGTGCTAAGGCAGCCTTAGACACAGGTCTTGGTACCTATCCACTCAAATCCTCTCTTCATGGGCCCTCAGAATTCAGTCAGTGTTGAAGTGGAAAATTCCAGGCTTAGAGCTGCTATGGGAACCTGTTTTCATTTCTGTCACTTATCCACAGTCTGATTTCTTTTGAACATGCTGCATTTCACCTGAGCCCCTGCACAAGGATAGTTCTTGTACTTAGATTTTCCAGGGACATGCAGCCTGGCTCCTGGTTCTTACAGCAGCAGCAAAGGGTGAGGGCGGCTTTCCCACCACGTGGACCACAGGGTCAAACAGAGGAGCAGGCTGAAGGGAGGGAGCAGTGCCGGGAAAGCCGACCCACCAGTGGCAGAGGAGGAGCAGAGGTCAACATACTCGCCCATGTAGCCCTTGGAGGTGGAGTGGAAGGATGCAAGCTCCACGTTGCTGGAGTACTCAGGCCCCATCTGGTAAAGCACTTTTTTAAAGGAGTGGAATCTGCAGTCAGGAGAGTACACATTGTCCTGATATACCTGCATGGAAACAGCAAAGATGCAGTGAGTCCTCCTGGAAGGTTGAACAAACACAGGCTGTGGCCGAGAGTAGCCAAGGGTCCACACCCAAGAGGGGTACACAGGTACAGCATGAACTTGTCATCAGGTGCAGATCACAAAGTCCAGCCTTGAACAAAACAGCCAGCCCAGCTTCCAATGCTGTTTCCACAGATAAGCCAGAATGTACCTGAAGGAACCTTCCAGAACAAGCAAGGGAACAGCCTTAGACTGGATGCTTCAGCTTATGACAGCTTAGTTGCTTCCCTGACAGCTCCTACATTTCTCTAGCCCACCTGCCTAACACATCGGGCCAGTGATGACACCAGGGACTCCAATCTTCCCAAGCAAACTTTTCTCCTAAAGCACTGATCACTCTCCTAGTGACAGAAACAGCATCAGCAGCCTCCTGCCCGCTGCTTTCTCTGTTTTAGGGGTGAACTCCACCAGGTGTCCTTTATGCCATTTACCAGGTTTGGAATCATTTGTCTTTGCCTCTGCTCGTTCTGCCAGAGCAGAATCCACACACATTTTGTTCTTCTGTGTCTAGATCTAGCACTCACAGCCTACAAATACCACCTTGCTTGCTCCACAATCAGGAAAACTGGCTTTCTGGGCCAGTGGGAAAGTCAGACAAGCTCCACCTTCAACGGCAATGGGGGAGCTCCTGCCCTCCTCCCAGACCAGTGGGGTAGTTAGTACATTGTCATAAGAAATCCCCAGGTCTCTCTCTGCTGCTTTTTTTTTTTTTTTCTCTTTTAGAAATGAAGGTTTTTATATCCATGGTTACTTATGGCAATTTAAATGTGGTAACAGAGCAGAGTGCTTAAGGAGAAAAGACAGTAGTATTCTAGAAAGTACGGCCAACCAGAAAACACACAGCAATGAAGGTAAAATGACGATGGAACGAGATGGATGCTCAGCCTCTTCCAAAGCAGACAAAGAACAGGCAAACCTCCGCCTCATGATTGGGGTTCAAGAAGTTAGACACAGACCCGAGACCCTCACAGGCTTGCAGACGGCTGGACAGGAAATGAGATAGAAGATGAGAACTGCCCAGAGGCACAGGAGTAGCACTGGCCATTTCTGACACAGGGCAGCTACACCCCACTCTTAGTAGGAGCCCATGGATTTCCCTCGGGACAGCCCTCCATGGCTTTCCAGGGGGAGGTGGGGGAAGGGCAGGGCAGACATCTTGTACCTTGCCTGGGCCTGGCCAGTCTGCATATTACAACTCCAGGCTACAGTGACTGGTTCAATAATCATGGCTCAAGTTGAACCAATCAAGCGTAAACTGAAACAACAAGGCTGAAAAGCTGCTTTCTGGAGGCCGACATACAGAGATGAAAGGAAAAGGATTTAGAAGACACAGTTGGAGTTCAGGATCCAGCCATGTACCTGTGACCCCATCATCATCATCAACATCATCATTGTCTCCAAGTTAAAAGCCAACACCTGTGACTTCAACACTGGGAGAGGAAGCAGGAGGGTTGCTGTGAGTTTAAAGCCAGCCTGGGCTAAAACAGTGAGTTCTAGGGTAGCCTGGGTTACATAGAAAACTCCCCTCAGTCTCTTTCTCCCTTTCTCCATATATATGGAGAATGTAAGAACTTGCGCGTGCGTGCGCTTGCCCAGAATCATTCTGCCTAGAAAGTTCTCTTTGGCTATAGAACAATCAGACCTGGATCCCTCCCCTACAAGAGGAGGCTTGCCCCCTCCCTCTCTGAGCTTTCCCACCCATCTCTGGGACTGCTCTTACCTCATCAGCCAGGAGGAAAAGCTTCTCTTCCCAGGCAAAGTGAATCACATCTTCTATGCACTTTCTGCTTTGTACCTGGCCTACAAAATCCCCAAAAAAACCAAAATGTAGGTTGTAATGCTACCGAAGTTTCCCCAAGTAATACTCCCATCCAAATCACTTGGGTGTCCTAAGCGCCTGAAGATCCCAGGAGACCACCCTCCTAGTTGCTCCACACAGCAGTGTGAAACCCGGCCACGCCTACAGGCTCCATGCCTGCCTAAGTCAATGAAGTCAGGCGCGGGCAAGTATTCCACACCTAACTTTTTCGGCATTCTTATGACTGGGTGTGCACCTGTGTGCATGATGTTGGTCTCTTCTGGAGGACAGAAAGGCACAAACATGCCACAGTGAGCAAGAGAAAGAAACTGGAGGAGCTCCCCTCACCAGCCCCCCGCAACTCCTCTGCTATGCCCCAGCAGCAAGCAATGCAGAAAACTGCCCTGGTTGATATGGTAACTGAGCTGGCATTCCTGAAGAAGAACTGTGGGTGTCTTCTTTGCAGAAAGGCAGGTGCACACACCCACAAGGAAGCGACAGGCTCGTCCCAGCTCATCATCTACCCTCAGAGATGGCAAGCGTTCAAATCAATACTTGCAGAATACCAAATGAATGAGCCAGGCTGGTGTCCCCTGTCAGCTGCTACTGCAGAGAGAACTGGCAGCACTGGGGACTCTGGGGACTCAGAGAGCACACTGCAGCTCTCTCTGGCTTCCTTCAGGGCCCGCCTCAACGCCAGCAGGGAAGACACCCACCACTCATGTCAGAGAACAAGTGCAAACAGCAGGGCGTAAGTCAGCAGCCTACAGGCACACACAGGAGCAGAGAGCAAAGGGGAAGGAGGAGGAACTCGCCCTGTATTCCCTCTCTGCTTTGAGTGCGACACCAGGGATCGCTGGGTGCTCAGTCGGGCTTGCTGATTTCTTCACGGTGTGTGTGTGTGTGTGTGTGTGTGTGTGCAGCATATCTATCTTACATTAAGCACATATGCACAGATATAAACATATGTTCACGTGTTATTTCTGCATGTATAGACATCCTAATGCAGAAAAGCATATAGACTGTTACCTTTTGGCTAAAAAAGGAAAAAAAAAAGTCTATATACCTATCTATGAAATGATATGAAGATATCTATAAAAACAGAAATGTGTCTTATAATGAATCGGCCAGGATTTCTACCTTCCACTCCTTAAGCAATGAGCCAGTTTCTTTAGTAAGGCACTGACTTTTCTTTGGCCACCGAGTGCCAGCCAGGCTTCATAAGAAGGAAGCTCAGGGCTCTGGGACTCCAGCAGAGTGGCAGGTCGTGGTTTCTATATGGAAGCAGCATTGCTGTCACAGACAAAGGCTGGCCTCTTTGTGGGTAGAGCCTGCCTGCAAACCCTTCGTGGGCCTTGTGATGTCCTAACTACATCCTACTGGAACACAAGCAGAGATGTGAGCATCAGAATACACAAAAACATGTTCACTGAATGCTAAGGGGAACACAAAGAAAGACTGAAGGGCCAGAGCCTTGGAAGGGCTTCAGCCTGGTGGAGGAAATGAGACTGAATGGATGCAAAATTCCACTGATAACACACAATGCACAGTTGACCATAAAGACAGGCTTATGTTTACCCCAGGCCTGGGATTCAACAATCACTTAGGGCCCAGCCATGAATACCCCCAAGAGACAAGAGCTGTGGAGAATGGCTTTATAGGGGCCAGGCTATGCCCAGCTTGGGGAGATACAAGATGCAGCTTTGATACAGGTCCAAAAAGCTGGTCCCAGAAAATGGGCCTAAGGAATTCTTTACAAACTGATAGGAACATCTGTGATTTTACCTCCTCGCTCCTGCAGCATACTACAGCTGTCTTGAGAAGAACCCCCAGCAGGAAATAAGAGAAATAGTCCTGGGCTAGACACGCACCACTAATCTAAGCACTTGGTATGCTTAAGCAGAAGAAGGGTTGTGAGTTCAAGGCCAGCCTATCAAGGACTTCTGAGTGAATAAATAAAAGAGCTGCTTATCAAAGTCATAGTGATCTGACTTGTTCCTAGAAGGGCAGTAAGCACCTGACCTAGGACTCTCAGTGAGAGCACTGGAAAAGATGTATTCTCAGGTTTCACCTGATTCGCCAGGGACAGAGATGCTGAAGGCCCTTCAAGAACACATACTAAGAAGGAATCCAACTCAGGAGACAGCAGAGCTGAGACGTGAACTGAGGTCCTTCCCACAATAATGTTGATTCGGGTTACTGCTTTATGACCCAGACATCAAGTTCCAACATGGGGCCTTTCTGTTTGAGCTGGGTTTCTCTCTTGAAACCCAAAGCATCCTGGCTTAACCTCTCAAGCTGCTTTGGCATCTTTCAGCCAACAGATTATGGTATGTGGTTGCGAAGTTTCCATTTCCTACCACCCTCTTCTAACAGCTGACTGATTCCCAAACATTAAGATTCCAGAAAATGAGGGTGGATGGTGCCTCTTCATAAGAAGTAGTTATAATAAGGCTGGGTATGGTGGCACACACCGTTAATCCCAGAATTTAGGAGGAGGCAGGCTGATTTCTGTGAGTTTGAGGCCAGCCTGGTCTACAAAGCAAGTTCCAGGACAGCCTACATAATGAGACCCTGTCTCAAACAAACGAACAAAAGAGGGAGAAAGAGAGAGAAAGAGAAAAAAGGGAGGGGGGAGAACTACTTATAAGAATACACATTCACTGGGTTCCTTATTTACAACAGGCATGTTTTGGTGGAGGTATGTTCTCCCAGATAGAAAGATAAAAAAGATTTACATAAATACCCAAGCAGAAAATCCAGTGGGGTATGCCTATAATCCAGCATCCAGAGGCTCAAGGGGCCTGCCTGGATGAAGTAGCAATAACTAGGCCCGATAGGGATACACCATCTCCAAAGACACAGCACAAAAGGGCTGACTCAACAGCCGACTCAGCATACAAATGCTGTAGAACTTGCTGTCCAAGTGTGGCCCTGGGATCAGCAGAAGTGTCATCTTGGACTGGGTAGGCCTGCCAGGTCTCCAGCCCTACCCAGTCATTAAAATACTGGTGGGCGGAGTCCACATCCTGTACTTTAACAAGCTAAGAGTTTAGGAACCAGTGTCCTAAAGTAGCTCTCCTCAGCACTAAGAACACTGACCTCCGGACTGGCCTGGGAGGTTTCAAAGCTGATACTGATCTGCAGCCCGACTGAGAGCAGAGTTCTCTGTCACTTCCCTGAACTGCATCATGGGTAGAATAGCATCATCATCCCTTGTACACGGCCCTGGAGCACGCAAACTAGTGTTTGCACCAGGTGTGTCTCTGCAACAACATTCAGGAATTAAAGCAGTTGTTTGCAGCTGACTGAAACATAGTTTCATGTTTCGGAAAAGCAGATTCCACAATCAACTCTGATGTATTCTGGCCCCAATCCAATTTAACTCAACAAAGGAGAAGGGAGTTCCTGTTCTCTCATCCAAATAGCCCTGGAGACACATGAACCAGCAGCCTGGGTGGGAGGGGGGGGGGGAGTCAAAACAGGCAGGACTGTGTACTTTTTTTTCTAAGAAAAACATGCAAAATTTGGGGTGCTTTTCAACTTCCAGAAACAGGCTTTTTTTTTTTTTTTTTCTTTTGTTTGTTCTTATTCTCAAAAAAGACAGCCAAACTCCACACACCAGCATTCTGAAACCAGCTGAGCAAAACAAGAGGGAGCGAATGTAGTACACCCCAGGCTGAACGGCAACAGTTTGTGTGAGCAACCTCAAGGGGAGAGTCTTTGCAAATGGAGGTAAAATATGAAAAAGAACAGGTCCTGTCAGCAATACAACTCAATAAAACCCTGCCTGTTTCTGGTCTCCTGAGGTGGCCTGAGGCGAGTCTCACAGCTGTTAGCAAATGTGGAATGAATTGAGAAAAGGGAACAGAGGGGACCTTGTGTCACTAAATTCTTCGGTAGTCAAGCATCTCACACCAGCCCCTCCTTGCTCCTGAGAAAGTGGTAAGAGAGTAAATTACCGACCTGTGGGATTCCCGGGGTTGATAATGCAGAGAACTTTGGGGTTGCAGTGGTCTTTGGCTTGCCGCACTGCCCGCCGGAGCTCGTTCACATTCAAGGCCCAGCAGTTCTCCTCGTCCAGGTAGTAGTTCACCTGGACAGCGTCAAGCTCGGAGATGACCGCGGAGTACAGAGGATACTGTGGGATGGGGATCATCACTCCTGTCCGTGACTTGCCACCCCCAGAGACCAGGAGCTTCAGGATCGTCTGCAACGGAAAGTAACATTTACAGGGTCCCTGCTGCTTCTCATCCTTCAAGAACCAATGAGCAGACAAGCCTGAGGAGGCCCAGCCCCAGCTCTCCGCCAGAGGCCCCGCTGCCTGCTTCTAGTGTAGCCCCGGCAAGTCTGCTTAACTTGTAGTAAAGGCTGGACACTTGACAAATGTAGAGCAACACATGATAATCTCAGCACTTGGGTGGCTGAGGCATGACCATCACGTGTTTGAGGCCAGCCTGGGCTACCCTGTGAGATCCTGTCTCCAAAAGACTAACCCACCAACTAAGCAACCAACCACTTTGTAAAACAGTATCCAGGCTGCTCCGGCCCTGGCCTCACTCTGACAATCTCTTTTAAATTGTACTTCATCAGTAATCATCAGCTGCCCACACGTGACTGGATGGACTTCAATAGGAGGCTGCTGAAATGGTATCACCAGCTACCAGGTGGTGCTTTCACCTATTTGCTGGCTAAGCAGAGTGCATATTTATAGATTTCCTGAGAAAACATGGGAGTCTGGGGAGGTGCTGGTCAAAGTGGCAAGAGTTCCTGAATTAGTACGCCAAGGAAGCAGGAAGACTTTCCACCTTACACATGGCCATAGGGTCTAGCTCAGGTTCAACTCCTTGCTGCAAGAATCCCACCAGATGGGAAAGCACTTACTGCCCACTCACTGTCTCGGGGCCTACTTCCCCATGGGCTCCAGGAAATCAGTGGATCTATTTGAAAGGCCTTGAGGTCAGGAGACAGAGAGCCTTGATAAGATGGAAAAGGATAATGGCAATTGCCCAAGTAGGAAGAACGGGTGACTTAAGGGCACTTAGCACAGAACCAGAGCCAGAGGGAAGCATGCCGAAAGTGAATGGACGGCCAGGATGTGTGCAGCTAAGGGAGTGGTCCAGCACTTGCCTAGCACACCAGGGGCCAGATTAGACCCTCAGCACTAAAGAATAAACAAAATGAGTCAACAAATGAAACCCAGGAGGCCATGAGCCCTTTCCCTAAGCCTGGAATTTCAGACTTCAGCCATGTAACCACTGACCCAGTCCACATAACCCCTGCCACAGCTACTGATGCCCAGCCTGAGCCAGCCCTTCCCTCACCCCTAAGTGCTCCTTCACTTCACATTACTTGGCTCTTTCTAGCCAGACCCGTGTTGAAATGAATATTGACTGACAAGTGGCCTCCCTCCCTCCCTTTACTGAAGTGCCAATGGTTCTTCTTAGGATGACCTAAAGGCTCAGTGTGGCTTCCAGGGCCCTATAGAACCTGCTTCCCTGGTCCTATTTCTGGTAACTATCCTTCATTGTGTGAGTTTACCCACCTTGGATTCATTTCCAAAATACTAAGCCTCTTTCCAGATCAAGGTCTTTTCATACTCCTGCTTCCACTTAGAAAACGCTCCCTCTCCCAAGTTCCCCAGGCCAGTACTGCATCTTTCAGTCTTTTTTCAGAGGAGCCTTCTCCCGCTCCTGCTGCGACCATTATAGCACTTGGTCTTTCTCTTCACTATGGAACAGAAACTGAAGGCTCGTGGTGTTAATGCTAGACTGTCATAACACTGGCATGTAGGCAGAGGTCTGGTTCCCTAAGGTCTCCCCAGCACCAAGCACAAGGTCCAGCAGAGGAGGAACACCATGTGCTCACAACAGAGGCCAAGGGGCACCCTCAAGCATCCTATAGCTCCCCACCCATTGGGCCTGCTGGTGGACCCTCTGGAGGGAAATTGAAGGTGCAGTTGTATCCAGGGTCATGACACTATCAGGGATTAGAAGCGACTGGGACAGGGGTGCTGTCAGTATTCAGGCATCTGTGCTGGCCTGCCCTTGGGGTTCTGAGAGGATAGGCCCTCAGCTGCAGTCACTAAGAGCACCACCTGTGCACATTCACTACATTCCCTTTTAAAAGGGTCCCACCCACCTCCCATTTTTTCTCTTTATCTGCCTCTCTGTCCCCTCCTTCTCTTCTGCCACTCCTGTCCCCAGAGACAGGTCTCCCTTCTCCCCTTCTCCCATTCACTTTCCCCAATTAAGAACCCCTCCACCCAAGCTCTGTCGCATGGCATCAGAGCTTGGATGGCCCATGCTGCTCACCAAGCCTGTCTCCTAGCCAGCTAGTTCAAATACCTAGCCCTAACTTGCAACGCTGTGTTAAGAATGGGCCATCTTTGCACATACAGAAATACCGTCGCTAGCTCCAGTGGTCAGGTAAATGTTGTCTGGGTCTGCAGATACACCATCTCTCCTGGTGATAAAGGCTGCCACATCTTCACGGATACAATTAACACCTTGGCTGGCACTGTAAGATCCTATGAGACAGCAAACATGATAATGATTAGAGGCAAGATGTCTGGTTCAATGAATGAGTGTGACATCCATATAATTAACTGGGGGTAAAGATGGCTGTGAACACTACAGTAGGGCCTCCTTCCCACTGCTCTGGGCTCTGAAACTATGGCAAGCTGCTTACCTACTCATTTGGGCTCACCCACCCATCTTTCTACCCAGTGTTTACTCAGCATCTATTACATGTTAAGCCCTGGTTTCTAATGTACCAACTAGTGCCCATACCTGAGATAGACATGGTTGTTTTTGTTTTGTTTTGTTTAATTTTATTTTGTGTACATTGGTGTTAGGGTGACACATTTCCTGGAACTGGAGTTACAGACAGTTGTAAGCTGCCACATGGGTGCTGGGAACTGAACCTGGGTCCTCTGGAAGGACAGCCAGAGCTCTTAACTGTTGAGCCATCTTAGCCCCCGATGCAGACATGTTTTATGACAACAGTACCCATTAGATCTGGGGTTTCTGTGCTTTAGGTAGGTGCTTACACATGGTTCTATAGAACTTGAGAGAATGGTTTGACATTAGTACTCCAAAATAGCTCAGGGCTCTAAGTGGCACAAACACAGATCCTGGAGTACCTAGCCACCATTGGGCCCCCTCCACACTACACCTTGAGTGAGTGCTCATCTGCTTCCAGTTTACAAACTGGCACATCACCATTGCCAAATCCCCTCACCACCCTGGATAACCCAGCCCCTTTCTCTGATCATACCACCCTGCACCTCAAGGTCTTACCCATGCTGCTCCCTGTATCTAGAATGCATCTGCAAGCTCTCTTTCACTCAGCCTCCTCTTCTGTTTTTTTTTTTTTTTTTTTTTTTTTTTTTTTTGTTCTGTGTTTTTGAGACAGGGCTTCTACATATAATCCAATCACTACATAAACCACATAAACTGGCCTCAAACTTACAGAGATCTGGCTGCCTCTGCCTTCTGAGCATTGGGATTAAAGGTGTATACCATCACACCAAGCTCCAATCTGTTTTCTTAAACTCTCCCTCTACATTAGGACCCCTTGATGTAACCCTATAGCTTTCTGTCCCTTATCCATTTAAGTCATGAAAGCTGGGAATGACACACATATATAAAATTCATAGTAATTATTTATGTGTATCTGTGTGTAGTTATATGCACTTGAGTATAGATGCCTGCAAAAGCCAAAAGCATTGGACACTCCCCCAGCCCACCCCCAATCCAGAGCAAGCGTTAAAGGCAGTGTGAGCAGCCTGTCCTGACATGGGTGCTGGGAACTAAACTCCAGTCCTCTGCAAAACTAGCACATGCACCTGGACAGTGGTGGAACACGCCTTTAAATCCAGCACCCAGGAGGCAGAGGCAGAGGCAGAGGCAGAGGCAGAGGCAGAGGCAGGAGGATCTCTGTGAGTTCAATGCCAGCCTGGTCTACACAAGAAGTTCCAGAACAGGCTCCAAAGCTACAGAGAAACCCTGTCTTAAAAAAAAAAAAAAAAAAAAAAAAAAAGCAGCACATGCTCCTAACGGCTAAGCCATCTCTCCAGCCCTTGAGTACTGTTAGTGTTTGCTCCTCTCACAAGCACAGACTATTCATCTCTATCACTTGTGTCCCTCAGTGTGGGGAATAGCACCTGATGCATGCTATGAGTCTGGCCACAGTCAGGCCAGTCAAAATTCACAGCTCCCAATTCCTCCTTTATTTAGTGTCCAGGATACAACCTAGGGACTAAACTGCTCGTCAGCTCGTCAGCTGGACAAGAAAGCAAGCACTAGTAAGAAGCTTTTTTTTTTTTTTCCTTTTTCTTTTTTAAAGACAGGGTCTCTATGTAGCTCTGGCTAGGCTCAAATTCATAAGATCTGCTTGCCTCTGCCTCAGGACTCTTGGAGCTAAGGGCCATGTCACCACAACCTACCAATTAAAATGGATTTTAAGAGTCGTGAGAAAAACATGTGTGAACTTTAAGACTTCATGCATGGCGCCTAGAAAGACAGCCCAGCAATGAAGACGACAGGCTGTGCTTGCAAAGGAGCCAGGTTCAAGCCTTGGCACCCATGAGGTGGCCCACTACTGCGGTTCCAGAGGATTCAACATCTTCTTCTGGCCCCACGAGTATTACACACTCCAGGGGCACATACAGAGAAGCAGGCACAAACATACACATTCATTTTTAAAACATTTGGAAATGGACTGGAGAGATGGCTCAGTGGTTAAAGAACACTGACTGCTCTTCCAGAGGACCTGGGCTTGACTCACATGGTGACTCATAACCATTTATAATTCCAAGTTCCAGGAGATTCAATGCCCCCTCCTTGCTTCCACAGACAAAAGGCTCTCGAGTGGAGTAGAGACATACATGCAGGCAAAAATGGCCTGTACACATAAAATAAAGTAAAAAACACTTAAAATACCAAAAAACCCCACTTCATATCCATATTCAGTAATTCATACTCTGGTCAGCATGGTCCTAGAGAACACTGATACATTCCACTTCCTTTTACTTCCATAGCAGGAAACAGGGCTCCAGAGGGCTCAGCTGACAGTGGCACCTTAGCATCACCGTTAAAGGACCACACCAACTGTTCCTTGCAGTGGGCAGGGCCTGGCTGCATCTCTACATCTAACAAGATGCTCTAGCAGACACACCAGCCTTTCTTACAAGTCCAGAAGGAGGAGACAAGATAGTTCCTACTTTAAAGATGAAAAGGAAGGCTCAGAATGCATTTCCCTCATCTATATTCATGAGTTCCTGGGACAGAGCCTGGTATAGGCCACAAAACCCTTATGGTCTACCAGCCTCCTCCTGTAACACCCCAAGACAACCCTTCCATACACACAGCCTTTCACCTACCCACTAGCTCTAGCTGACAATCAGGGGCAAAAATCAATAGATGAGATTTAGTGGGTGGAATAAAGGTCCGCTCCCTATACCCTCACATTAGACACACATAAAGCAAACTCCCCTCCCCTTCTCCTGCCTCTCCAGCAGAACCTCTGCGGACCTCAGGGCCATCAGGACTTGGAGAAATACATTTGTCCTGTGCTGGGCAGAGGGTACGGGAAGAGATGTCTCTGCACCACATGACTTAGACCTCTAGCTGGCAGGCAGGGAAGCAGGGGCAGTGGTCTGTCCCTAAGAGTGTTGACAGGGACACCATGGCCAGGCAAGCACAGAGCCACAAGACACAGCAGAAAAGGGGGGAGGGGAACATGGAAGGAGGCAGGAACCAGGGCACTGATCCCTGACTGAGCGATTCAGAGAACTGTGTCTCACTCTTGGCTCTAGGTCTCAGAACATTAGGGCACATATCCTAAGAAATCTGTGAGAACAACTGGCTTTTTGATTGAGATATGCTGTGTAGGCACTGGGGGGGGGGGGAGAAAGGGAGAAATAAACAGGAAAGAAAATGAGATGAGAACAAAGAGCTAGAGGCCAAGGGTTGGATTCTAAGCAGGGGAGGAAGGGGGAATATCATTTTCACATCTATAGAGGTCAAATTCAGGACCTCCTTGCATGGAGCCAGAGGGTACCTGCCTCTTTCGGGAGGCAGACTGATGGGCCTGGGCTCTCCACAAAGCGGAACAGAGGCAGGGTGGAAGGGATGTAACAGAGTGGGAGGGGTAATGGGGACCATTCAACTGAAGTAAGCCAAGCAAAGCGTGCCAGAGAGGACCCAGATGCTTCCTATCCTCAGCAAGCAGTAGCTGCTGCTACTCAGACACTGCCAGACACAAGAAGCTTGAGCAAAGCTGGGAACTATCCTTTTATTCAGCCTGTAGCTGGTTTCTGAACCAAACGTTTGTCAGTCTAACACACACAAATCCAGAAGAAGGGAGGTGCCTGTACTTGAGTTTCGGCCCACCAAAACACGGCATGTACAACACTGACGTAGTAAATTAGAGGGGGAAAGAGTATATGCGCCTGCACATCAGCCACCTTCCACACACTTAGCATAGCCACATCATAGCCCTTTGCTTGGTGAAGGGCCCAGACCCATCCTGGAACCCACAGTCATCCCACATCCTTGAGGACCTTGCAAGTTGGGCCTCACCCAAGCTGTTTCCACCACAAGCCTGCAGGATCCGCCGGGCTCGCTTCTTAGCATCTTCTGGGAAGCTAGGGCTGCTTAGCAGATTTGGGTAGGTGCAGAGTGCCATCACCTAAAGAAAGAGGGTACAGTTGAGCTAAGAAGACACTGGGCAAGGCATAGTGAGAAGATGACAACTCCAAACACCATGCTACAGCATGCCTCTCCATGAGAGCTAAGGCTGTGGGACTTCAGGGTAGCAAAGAGGAAGATGCTGGCTCTCTGCAGGAGGAGAGATTCTAATGGCCAAGGCTTGGCCCAAGAACAAGGTGCCAAAGGAGGAACCTGGCCTCCAATCCTCATCTGTGAGGAACACTGGACCAAAACATCTAAGATCGTAAGAGCCAGAGGGTCTCCTGGGTACAGGGCCAGGCCTCGGTGGGGAGTAAGAATTTGCTGACAAGAAGGCTTAAGACCCCTGCAGACACACAGCCTGAAGCCCTTCTTACCCTGTTCTTCCTCTAGACTAATCTTCAGATCTGAAAGCCGGAAAGGCTTTTCCTCCCTGTAACATAAAATCACCTAAACGCACAAACTGAGAGGATTAACCAAGGCCATGGGTGACAAGGTGCCAGCAAAACCCAGTGCACCTGTCTAAAGCTGGCTGCTGAGGGACCAAGCCAGGCTCACTATGGGGTGGGAGTGGGGGAGAAGAGGTCATAGCTCTGATAGCAGTCAGGTGACAGACCAGTTTCGAGGCCTTTCTTTCTCCGGATAAAGAGCAATAACCTAGCCCACCCCTCACCCAGGGGCATTATGAAGACCAGAAGAGACAGATGAAGGCTACAAGTGGCTGATACAATGCAAGACAAGTTAGGACAACTGGGGTCCAGGGATGGGTTGGCTTTTGGGGGTGAGTTTGACAGCCTGCAACATATTCATGGCCTGAGACTAGGTCTACATCTGGAACCTCTACTGACAATCAAGGATCTCCGCCTTCCTCCTGCCTCTACTCCTCTGACAGAGCTACTGTTTGGCCCCCCACTTCTGCATCCTGGGCCCAATCCACTCATCTCCACAGTCCTCTGAAGGTCAACAGTAACGGTTGCAGGGCATTCCTCAGACTAGGACCAGGCTGTTGGTGGGATCTTCTAGCACCAACACCCCTCCGCCCCAAAGGAGAAGTCGAGGGGACCCGCGCTGTGTGCCACTCCTGAGGGTGGTAACACGGGTAGAGAGGCTGCCGTTTTGAAAGCTCGTTAGCTGCCTTGCCTGTGAACCTTAACTATACATAGCGCTCCAAAACAGGCCCATTCCTCCTCTAGGAAAAAGTTCTCCGTAGTTATGTCTCCTGTCCCTGATCAGGCTGTCCAGTGGCATTTTCCTACCACACTTTGCTGGTCCTGCAATGTTAGCTCATGTAACATTTTGTCATTGATGTTCAGACATAAACACTAGAACCCGCCATCACCCAGAGCCCTTATGAGGGAGATGAGTTATACTGGAGGCAACCGAGAGCAGGAGGCAGTGATCTGCTATAACTGGACTTTCAGCTGGCTGGAGGAAGACCTCCACCTGTCCTCCAAGGCACCAGGATGATTTCCACTTGCACAAAGCCAGCCAGCACTCAAACCCAGGGGCTCCCTTTGGCTGTATTTTCACCCTGGCACACCTGCCCCCACCCAGCTGGGCTTGCACTTCTATCACACACACACACACACACACACACACACACACACACACACACACACACACACAAGAAACACCCTAACAGAAGTTCTCTGTCAGTACCCCAGACCCAACACAGAAAAGAGCCTTCCCGGAAGCTTCCTACCCCAGGCCACCCCAAAGGGGTTAAGGCACCTTTGATATCCTTGGGAGGGGATTATGGGAGAGAAACAGGGGACATCAGGTGCCCGAAAGGGCTGCTATGGGTGGCACATCCGTCAGATGCGATTGCTGTACTGGCCCCTCCCAGATTCTAGTTTAGGGCTCCGGAGGCTTGTTCCCGAGGGCGGGCTCACCTGACGGAGGAAGGTGATTGGCTGCTGGCCCATAGCATGGGCATCCCCGATGTTGGCTCGGATTACCTCCGTGAACGGTTTTTTGATACCCTGCAGAGAGAAGGTGGCAGGTGGTTAGACCCTACATTCCTGAGGCCAAGTTGTAGAATAAAATTACCACAAGATATTAATAAGCAATCCTATTTTAAGCCTCACCAAATGTCAAGCAGTGCTAACTGAGCCCCATTTAATCTTCACAGCCATTTGTGAGGAAGAACCAGGAGCAAACCCATTTCACAAAGGAGGAAACTGGGGTTCCAAAAGACTAACAGACTTGCTCAGTGTCACACAATTGATAAACACAGCATTAGGATTAAAACTCTGGAAGCCAGGCCCCAGTATGCTCTGCCCTATTGCCCTCCACTTACTGAACAAACTGGAAGAGCTGTGAGGTGGCTGGGGCACCCTAAGACAGTTCCACAGGGTGTCAATTCACAAGGATGTCTAGTAGCATATACTGGGACCAAAGGATAGACACTGAGTTCATTTTCCCCTCCAGAGGACATCCACCACTGGCAGCCAGGTCCTGGCCTTGTTCTCTCACAACCCTGGTTTTGCAGAAATGCTAGTTTCCTTTTCTTTCTTTTTTAGAAGAAAGCATAAGAGACAATGAAGTGAGAGCACCAAGCAGGAATCACAGAGGAACTAACAGAGATTTGAGCCAGATGCTGGTGGTGCGTGCCTTTAATCCCAGCATTTGTGAGGCAGAGGCAAGTGGATCTCTGTGAGTTTGAGGCCAGACTGGTCTATACAGTGTGAGTTCCAGGACAGCCAAGGCTACTCAATGAAGCCCTGTCTTAGAGAGAGGAGAGAGAGAGAGAGAGAGAGAGAGAGAGAGAGATTTGGATGTCACTAGAGAGTGAATGACACTTCAGCTGCTACAAAGGTAAAATGGATCATGGAGATGTGGAAACACAGGAGTCTACACAGCTCCCTGATAAATCCAGAATTAGCACAGGAGGAATTATAGTGAGATATCCACCCCTCCGGCCCCTGTTCCACTGACCACGCCCATTGTGGCATAAGGACAGGAGCAGGCATGACCTGGGGAGACTAGGTCTGGGGTTCTGGACCCCAGCTCACTCTTACTTTCTGGTCAGAGACAGAGAGCATCCGGAGGCATCCTTGGGATGGGAACATGCAGTGGTCATCTGTTTTTGGTGTAAGTGATTTCTCCCTGAATAATTTCCGTCAACCGATTGTTTCCCAGATTCTTATTTACCACACTTTATCGAATAAACTAGACAAGTTTAAAGCGCTCCTCAGGTGACTGAGAAGATAACCGGGAACAAACACTGCCTTGTGCAGGTGGTCCAGGAAGGAGGCCCTGAGTGTCACTGTGGAGGAAGACGGGATAAAGGTGGGAAGGCCTTGCCGCCACCCATTTCCAGCTGTGCGTCCCAAACACAACAAAGGTACAACTCTATGGTTCTGACACTGGTAAAGTTTGTTCTCCTGAGTATGCGTGTGTCTGCACATAAGTGTGCATGTGTGTGTACCATGCTCAGGTGGATTTGGATTTTTCTCCACAGCTCACCATCTCGTTGCTCTGAGACAGGATGTCTCACTGCCCCTGGAGCTCACAGTTTTTCCCCCAGGCCAACGGCTAGCCAGCCATGCCACTCCTTCCGTCTCTGCTCTCACCAGCACTGGGGCTTCAGGTACAGGTGGGACCGGGCCTAGCTTTTTGCCTGGGCGCTGGGGATTTGAACTCAGGCTCATGCTTACATAATGGGCATTCCTACAGAGTCATCTCTTAGGCCCTGCCCCACCATGTACCATGTTTTTTGTTTTGTTTTGTTTTGTTTTTTCCTTCATTTATGATCAGTAATGTACCCTTCAACAACAAAAAAAAAAAAAAAAAAAAAAAAAAAAAAGAAAAGAAAAGAAAGAAAGAAAGAAAGAAAGAAAAAAAGACAGTGGTCTCTAGAAACAAAGGCAGCTGCCACTTAAGTTTTCTTCTGAGCCTTGTTTATAGCCCTAAGTCACAAGGCACAGTAGGCCGAGAAAAGAAGCCTAGAGAGGGCCTCAGAACTTCACAAACAGAGCCCAAGTCTCTGAGAGGTGTGTCTGGGATACAGGGGACCCTGCACGTGCCTCGTGTCCCGTTGTCTTTTGAGCTAGTCAGAGGTGGCCAACATGGAGCTTTCTTTCTGGTGCTCAAACTTCCCTAGACCAAGGCCAGTGGTGGGAACACTTGCTGTGCCAGGCTGGGTCGGGGTGAGAGCAGGGGAGAGAGGGAGGTAGCTGCAAGGCTCACCCCGCAGGTAGCAGCAAAGACGGCTGGCTGGTGGGGGTTATGAGGCTCTCCCTCCCTGACACTTGGCATATTTTGCTGCTGGCCTCGCCATTTCTCTACACCGCTTTGGTCCCAGTGCCTTCTTTTAGACATCCTGGTGAAGAGACCTAAGTCACCCCGTACAAAAGGCAGACCTGGTTTCCTGCTGAGGAACCTTCCATTAGCCTTTAAATCACTGTAGCTTTCAAGTCTACAGCTACTGAACATAGGTGACTTCTGTGGTATGGCCAGAGCCTATTCTTCAGTAAGAAACACATCTGTCACAGCCAAGAAGGCCAAGACTCAACACAGTTAAAGGCCTGGGCCCTGGGCCAGCCCAATACAGAAGAAAATAATGCCTGGAATCTTGCTCTGGATGTCCCTTCTCTGTGCCCTCCCCCTGGCACTATTAGCAATTCAGGGCTTGCTGACACAAAGCCTGGGAACACTGAGCACCCCCTTACTTCGGTCTTTGTGCCTACAGAACATGGACACTTTGCATGATGGATGACTTGGGCCAGGAAAGCGGCTCCCTTGAATAGACAAGTGGACCATTCTATACAGCCAAGAGCAACCACTCAGAAGGATGTTCTGGGCAGACTTGGAAAGGTACCCCAGAAAGATTCTGGCCCAAAGTGCTCATCCAGGTATGTGCACTCAAAGGTGCCATTGCCCCAGTTCAGCACCTTGGCAGAGGAACTAACAAGCACAGACGTGTAGACAAGCACTTGCACATGTCCAACCCATGACTGCGTGCCATGCTGCACTGAGAGTGGGTGGGTGCTCTCTTCCCACCACTTGGACTTATGCAGGGGCCAATAGTGGTGAAACATTTCTTCAGAGGAAAAAAGAAAAAGATTTATTATTACCTTTCCATAGTCCAGCACCACCAAAGAACACCAGACTAGGGGACAAATCAACAGGGACAAGGCAAAACAAAAGAAGTAATTAACAAACAGGGAAGGCTGAGGACATGGCTCAGGCAGGTACAATGACCTGAGTTAGTGCCCCAAAATCACATTAAAAAAAGAAGAAGAAGAAAGAAAGAAAAACCCTCAAATGCAATGGTGTATATTTATAATCAGTGCTGGGAAGTGCAGGCAAAGTGAATTCCCAGGGTTCACCAGCCTAGATGAATTAGTGAGTTCCAGGCAAATGGAGCCCCTGTCTCAAAATCTAAGGTGTACAGCATCCAAAGAATGACCAATGTTGTCCTATGGCTTCTACATGCACCCTACGTGTGTGTGTGTGTGTGCGCGCGCATGCACACACGCACATACACACACACACACACACACACACACACACTCAAGGAAAATACTATTTTATTTAAAAAAAAAAAAACAAAAAACAAAAAACAAAAAAGCTAGTCGGGTATGGTGGCACATGCCTTTAATCCCAGGGCTTGGGAGGCACGTGCAGGTATTCTCAGAGGCTGAAAGAGGACATCAGATCCCTTGGAGATCAAGTTACAGGTGGTTGTGAGCTTCCCAATATGAGCTCTGGAAATGAAATCTGGATGCTCCGTAAGAGCAGCAAGTGCTCTTACCACTGAGCCGTCTCTCCAGTCCCCCACCCCACCCCGTGTGACTGCCAGTTACATACGCCCCAACAGAGCTAGGGAGGAGGGAGGGACGAGAGCACGTTAATGTCCTTGTTCAAGGGACGGCCCAGTCATTGCATGAGACCTATGCTCAAGAAGGCCACAGAGTCTCCGTTTGTTCAACAAATACTCCCAATAGAGCACAAAAGGAGGGGGAGAGTGAGAGAGGGTAGGCAGGGACCAAAGAGAAAAACCAAAGCGAACACAGGAACTGAAGAGCAAGAAGTGGTACAGAGACGGCCCAGTAAGTAAGAGTGCGTTATTATACCGCTCTGCTAGAGGACCCAGTTCAGGCCCCAGCAGTCATGGCCAGCACCTCACAACTGCCTGTGCCTCCAGCTCCCTGCCTCTGCCCTCTGTGGGCACCTCTACTTACAACACATGAGCACACACACACAAATAAATCTTTACCTAAAGCCGGTACAGGAAAGGGGCTGGGCACAGGGTGGGAGAGAGGCCTCCCCAGACCCCAGGCACCTTGTATGAAAGGCCTCCTCACTCCCAGATTCAAGTGAACACTTAGAAGAATTAGAACAGGCAGGCAGAAGTGCTGAAAACGGGTATCTCACAGAAGATGCTGAGACCCAGCACAAGGCAAGCCCCAACTCCACAGACAACCAGAGAACTCAAGATTTACAAGGAGCAGGGTTGGAAAGCAGCGCTCAGAAAAGAGCATTCGCTGCTCTTACCAAAGCTGGGGTCGGTTCCTAGCATCCACATAGCCACTCACAACTATCTCTAGCTTCAGTTCCAGGGGGATCTGAACACCCTGTTCTGGCCTCACAGGCACCAGACACACATGTAGTGTACATATGTACTCACAGACAAAATACACATACATATAAAATAATAAAAATTTATCAGTAAGTCAGTCTAAAAAATGTGGTATGCAAAGCTGAATGATTTCCATTCTGGACCATTATTACAACAACGCTACAGCTACCACAAGAAGCTCCACACCGAGCAAGTCAGAGGTAGGAAGTAGTCGTCTGCACTTCTTACACTCAAGCAATTCGTAATAGTTTGAGAAAGTCGGGGACTCTCGAGCAGAGGCAGATGGATCTCTGTGAGTTCGAGGCCAGCCTGGTCTACAGAGTGAGTTCCAGGACAGCCAGAGCTACACAGAGAAACTCTGTCCTGAAAACCAAACCAAGCCAAAAACAACAGTTTGAGAACAAAGAGGAGTCTTTCTGTGTTGCCCATGATTGGCCAGGAGCTCCTGGACACAAGGGATCTTCCTGCCTCAGTCACCTGAGTAGTGGGGACTGCAGGCCTTGTCACACTTGTTAACAATTTTAATTAGCTCCTGTTTAAAGGATTGCCACTAACACTGCAAACCAGTTTGTAAAGAAGAATAGTCAAGGTACTCTGGATGAATTGCCTGGGGACCACACTCCTTAAAGCCTTGAATGCTGGTCTATGACCAGGTCATGGTGGATGGGTTTAGGATTCATCCTGTCAAGGAAATCTTATAATTTTATTCTCTATTATTTTTCTTTTCTTTTGAGACAGGATCTTACTTTGTAGCCTTGGCTGCTTGGCTGGCCTGAAACTCGTTATGTAGACCAAACTGAGCTAGAATCCTCAGGTGATATTCACCTGCCTCAGCCTCCCCAGTGCTGGGATCAAAGGTGTGTGCCATCCTGCCTGGCAATTTTCCATATTCTAAAGTAAAACCTACACTCTGAAACTGACCAGTAAGATTCAGCCACTTGAGCTTAAAACACCCAGGGCTATGAATTTTATCCTGCTACCGACAGCCAGGTGCTAGGATACTATGTTTACATGCAACACACACTGATGGCAACACAGATCAATCTTTTCTAATTCTGAACCTTCTGCTCTTTGTGAGCTTTCGGGTTTTTTTGTTTGTTTACTTTGTGTTCTTGTAGGTGCTTGTGTGTATATGTGGCAAGCAGAGGTCACAAGTCAACCTTGGGTGTGGTTCCTCAGAAGCCATCCACCTCATGTTTTGAGACATTGGCTTGAGTAAGCTACTAGCTGGCTAGGGAACCCCAGGGATCCTCCTGTGTACCTCCCCAGCACTGGGGATACAAGTGCATGCCACCATGCCTGGCTTTTTCATTTGAATTTTGAGGATCAAACTCAAGCCCCCATAGTCATATGGCAAGCACTTTTATATTTTTAATTTTTGAAGCAGAGCTTTCCTACATTGCTCAGGCTGGCCCTGGATTCCTGGACACAAGTCCCCCTGTCTCACACACCTAAGTAGCTAGATTTACAGCCCCGCCACCACCCTACCCTGCTGGTGTTTACTTTTACAATTGGAAAAGTAAAGCCATTCCTTCACTCTGCTGTGCCAAGTCCTGATCCCTGCCCTTAAACAAACAAGAGAAGAAAGAAGCTTGAGAAACTGTCAGATCCTCTCCCCGCACCCCCACTGCAACTTATTAAAAATCGCTGCTCCTAATGAACGATGGGATGGATCTCCCTTGGTGGGGCTGCTCTAGGGGAGAAATGGCCCCCTGGCCTGGCTATTACCCCTTAGCTTCTTCCCCTCTCCCTTCAGGGTATCTTATCAAAACCCTGCCAGCCACTTAAAGACAAACACCAGGGGCCACGTGTCCAGCCGGTACTACCAGCAAAGCACTCACAGAAACAGTTCCATAAACATTATAAGGTTCCACCTTATGACATTTCACAGAGGCCACCTCAGGTCCCCCAGGACAAGGCTTAGAGAAGGGAGCAAGTGGGCCAGCTAAGCTCTTTGCCTCCTTTATAGACTAGGGAAATTGATGCCCAGAGAACACATGGAATTTGTCCCAAAACTTCATACAAACCTCTTGACCAGATAAAACCCCTTAGAATGCTTGTCCAATTTGTATTGCTATAATTCAAAACAGAGGCAGAAAAAAAAATCTTGCAAAGCCAACACAAACAAAAAATAAATAAAAATAAACAGGACTCAGAATACAGCTCTGGGTCAATGGTAGAGTGCTTGCCTAACATTATAAAGCCCTAATTTTAAGTCCCCAGCACCAACCTGCATCCTCCAAAAACAAAACAAACAAACCAAAAAACAAAAAACAACTGGCAAGTATGGCTGACATAGTTGAATATCAGGACCACCTTAGTTTAGACCTCTGTGAGTTCCAGGACAGCCGATCAATATAGAATGATCCAGGTCTGTTAAGACTACATAGTCAGAACCTGTCTTGAAACAAAAACAAACATCCAAGAATATAGGTGGACAGAGAACGGAGCCAGCCTTCTCTGGGCCAACCTGGGGTGGAGAGGGTGCAGGGGTTAATAGTGCTCTCGCTCTCTGCTTTCACAGAAGACTCCAGTTCAGTTCCCACATCAGGTAGCTCACAAGCACCTGCAACTTCTCAGTTAACTTGGGGGGCTCAAACTTGGTTGTGTGGAATGTCTATTTAGGAAGTCAGGACACTTCTGGCCCAATGATCAAGACATGTATCTACTGTTGGAAACCCTTTCTAGCTCCCCATGTCCAGCCAAAACACATGGAGTTGCATGGTAAAGTCCCGAGTCATCCAAATGGCTTCTGTCTTCTCCATCTCATCCACCCTACCTCCCTCTGCCACACAGACTTCTACTAAGTGCATCTACCCTTCCCCCTAAATCTAGAACTTCCCAACTTCCCTGCCATTGACCACAGCACTGCTCTTGGAACATTCTCACATACTCTCTACAAGACTGGAATAACAATATGGCAGCCTGGACCTAAGCTCAGTGACCTTTTACTCCTCACCATCCTCTACTTTGTGGAAGCTGCTATTTCGCAAAAGGTAGAGATAATTCCTGGAACCTCTCCCATCTCTGGAATCAGAGAAATCAGCTGTGACGTGATAAAACAAGGAACATATTAATCCCAGCTTTGTTTTAGCAGGGAGACTGTTGCCTCAAGGAAGGACAGCTGCAGCCTCCCAGATACCAAAGTTCGGAAAAGAAGAGCACATGCTCTGTGCCCACCAGTGTGTCAGGCAGACACAGAATGGAGCCAGCCTTCTCTGGGCCAACCTGGGGTGGAGAGGGGTTAATAGCGCTCTCTGCTCTCACAGAAGACTCCAGTTCAGTTCCCATATCAGGTAGCTCACAAGCACCTGTAACTTCAGCCTCCAAGAAGACCCAGCTCTTGTTTGCTTTGGTTTTTGAGACAAGATTTCTCTGTGTAGCCCTGGCTGTCCTGGAACTAGCTCTGCACACCAAGCTGGCCTTGAACTCAGATATCTCCCTATCTCTGCCTCCTGAGTGCTGGTATTAAAGGGCCGCCACCACCCAGCACAGATCCAAGTCTTCTAGCCTCGCATGCATATAACTACACATATTTAAAAATAATGAAAATAAATCTTTTTAAAATTTATTTTTATTTCATTTGCACTGGTATTTTGCCTGAATGTATGTCTGTATGAGGGTGTCAGATCTTGGAGTTACAGACAGGTGTGAGCTGCCATGTGGGTGCTGGGAATTGAACCCTGGTCCTCTGGAAGAACACCCAGTGTTCTTAACCACTGAGCCATCTCTCTAGCCTATAAAAATAAATCTTAAAAAACCAAAAACCAGAAAGTCTTAACCCTGCAAAGTGTTAGCAACAGACACTGAACTCCCTTTTGTCTAACTCACTGTTCTGAGAAGAACTGAGTGCCTGAGAAGGTATCAGCAGGCCCATCAAAGTCCCCATGGGAAGAGGAGAACCTGAGAGCTCCCCTCAGTTATTCAAAGATACTGAGTGACCACACTATCCTGGAAACACTGCAACCTAGTGACTCTGGGAACAAAATCAAAAAACTTACCATTCGCATTCTGGGTCAGAACTATCTGATAACATTTTATTTTGTTTTCTTAGACCAGGCTGGCCTTGAACTCACAGAGATTTTCTTGCCTCTGCTTCCTAAGGGACAGGACTAAAGGTGTCTGTCACCAATCCCTGTTCTCCCCCGCTAATATTTTCTTACTAATCTTGTGAGTGTTTTCCTTTTGACGTTCCCTCTTAACTCTGCCTTCCAAATTCCACTCACGTTAAAACTCAGTATTCTAGCAGGGTGCTGTGATGTGTGCCTGTAAGCCCCAACACATGGGAGGTAGAGGCAGGAAGACATGCAATCCAAGGCCAGCCTGGGCTACACAACCAAACCTTTTTCCCAGAACAAAGAACTTGTTTTCCTCCAAGGGCATGTCCCACATACATACAGCCAAACCACCCTGACTGGAGCAGGGAGAAATTACCCCACAAGTTTTACAACAGCTATGAATTCAAGCCAACATCCCTGGCACCACCAAGATGAAGTCCCAGGGTCGCCTCATTATAGCTAAAGACCCCAACTCTCTTGACTATAGTAGTCACGGTTCTCGAGGTACAAAAGAAGGAATTCTGTCAGTCTCTCCTGCAGAGTCCCATTCTTGTCAAGCAACTGTGGCTGGCAAAGGCCCAACAGGCCTCAGCCCAAAATAAAGGTTCGGGAACAAAGTAGCCGCACATCCTCCCATTCCTCCTCCTGCTCCTAACTGACAGGGTTTTCCCCTCACCACCCAAGGCCCTTTCATCTCCCTGTCTTCAATCAAAGCACTTATTCACTATCTGAAAATCTCACTTCTATATTCACTGGTTTTCCGCCTTCCAAGGGTTCTTGGTTCCACGAGGACACTTAGGGAACACGCAGTGCCTGGCAGCATAGACCACTCAAGTAATTGGGTACAATTCAACAAGTGAACCGTCAGAAGGCCTCACTTTGTGCCAGATGCGGGGCACTGGTGAGTGACTGACGAGAGAGGAGGCGTTCTCTCCTTCCAGCCAAAAAGGGCACAATGAAAAAGCTGAAAGCTGGAGGTGGAGGGTCCTGCTGGAGGACCCCAGAGGGTTTGCCAAGGCTCTTCCCGCCATGAGCGCCCCCTGGCCTCGCGCCCCTCGGGCCCCGCGCTCACCCGCTGCAGTTCCATCTCGATCTCGCCGGCCTTGTGCACGATGGGTCCGCGCACCGCGTACTCCACCGCCTTCACCTGAGGGTTCATGGACTCCAGAGTGAGGATGCGGTCTCGAGGGCTGCGCTCCGGTCGCACCTTGAGCGCCGCTGAGGCTTCGGCTGCAGCGCTGCTGTGACTACGGCCCCAAGGGCCCGAGGCGCGGGGGCAGGAGCCCCGCCGCACCAGCCCCGCCGCCCGCTGCATCGTGAACCTACCGAGGATAACCCTGGCCCAGAAAGAACAAGAGCAAGTCATCGCGCACAGCCCCAGGTGGACACCAGTCCCCCCAAGAGCCCAAGGCTCTCGGTTAGCAGCGCCAGCCTAGCTCCAGAGCTGGATTCCCACCCTCTGGTTACCGGGACCCCGAACCGCGCCACTGCAACACCAAGATGCTGCACCGCTGGGTGGCCCGGGCTGCACCTAATGTGCGAATGCAACGTGCCTGTCGCCTCCGGGCCGCCCGCACCGCTCTGGCTAATGAGTGCCTGGGCTGCTCCCAAGCTGAATGACCAGCCACCGCATCCTGGCGCCTGGCACCCGCACCTCCTGGTCCCCTGCATTCGCACACCCACCGCCGCCGACTCCGCCTCGGGCCTGCGCGCTGGATTCTGGGTCTTGTAGTTGTCTGGGCCGTAGCAACGCCGCTGTGATGTGTTAGATAAACTACAAGTCCTCTAGGGCCTGGCGCAGGCCGAACCAGGCTGGTCAAGGGGCGGGGAGCTGTCGTCTGGGCGGGTTCTGAAGGACAGAAAATCCAGATCATACGACGGCAGCGGCCACTGTCCTTTCCAGAGGCTTTTGGAATTTAGTTATTTGCTGCTTGGCTGCTTCTCCCTAGATGCAGACCCCGCCTCCCTCCACCCTCACTTCTCGACACCTATGGGGATGTGGATCGCGAAGTGATGCAGTCTTCGCCTGAGTTTCATCATCCAGGCCATATGGTTCTACTGGCCGCTCAGGGGCAGCTGGTTAGGGAGTGGAGCCACTGCGGCTTAATATGCCACCCTGGCTCCTTCTCTCTTGTAAGCAAAGAGCTGGAGGAGGGGGGAGGTGTCGGAAAGGACCACACACAGAGTAGTAAGGTTTTTCAATACCACTTTATCTGAAGCCTCACCTATATTAATTCCATTTTGTTTTCTTTCTAACCTTCCCAGCATCTAAAATTACCTCGTGCTCAGGGCAGGAGCAGTGTCTTTCTTGCCTGTTTTCACATTTCTAGCACATGGCACTTAGTAAATATTCGTTGCACAATGAATGCACAGGACATGATAGCAATTACTTTGGGCAAAAGTATCCTGCCAATAGGCAGCTCCACACGTGCACTTTGAACAAGCTTGGGGCAAGCTTGGGACAAGACTAGGTTGGGTGTGCCATTAGTGCAAAGGTAGGGTCACACAAGCTGAGCCACAAACATCTACAAAGAGGACATGGTTGAATCACTTTCCTTCTCCCTGACTCAGACTCCCTCCTCATCTGAGAAATAAATTGGGTTAAATGGCTTGTCTTTTCCCACTTCTGAGTCACCTGACTTTAAGCATGTCACCATCCCCAGGTGGGAAATGGGGGCAACAGGTACATACCTTGTGCAACTGAGGAGAGAGTTCCGAAGGAACTTGCGGGAACGTGAATCCTGAAGTTGCACACCACCCTTGTTGATCTGTCCTCAAGGGAATACCAAATGCTTTGATCAAACAAATTGATTACTCGTGAGAGAGGAATGTGTCTGGGAGAACAGAAACCAAAGACAGCTGAGTGTTTCCACCTTAGCAAACTCAAGTCCCCGCAAAGAAGCTGTTTGGGTGGCAGAGGAGGCTGCTGCTCCTACCTCTTCTGCTTCGTCATCTTTGTCTTTATTGTCATCTTTCTTCCCTTTTTTCTTTTTCTTTTTTTTTTCTAGAAAAGAGGTAGTTTATTAAGGCAAAGCAGCACAGAGCTGAGCCAACCCCTTCCTGTGTCCTGGCTCCCAGAAGGCAAGAAGGAAGAGGTGCTGTTTGAGCTCTTGTTTTTTTAATCTTATTTTATGTGTACAAGTGTTCTGTCTCCATGAATGCCTATGCACCATGTGGGTGCAGTGCCCATGCAGGCCAGAAGAGGGCGTTGGATCCCCTGAAATTGGAGTTATAGACCGTTGTGAGAGGCCCTGTCAGGCTGGGAAGGAAACCTGAGTCCTCTGGAATAGCAATCAGTGCTCCTAACCACTAAATCTCTCTCCAGTGCCATGTTTGGGCTTCGATTGAACAGCACCTCTGTCAACAGGTCTCTTCCTGGCTTTTGTCTCAGTGCCTTATGCATTCAGTCTCCAGGTAGAAGATTCTCCCCATGGCATCTGCCCTCTGGGTACTTCACTGCCCCCCCCCCATGTCCTGTTATTACTCACTCTGGCCAGTTGAAGAGCCACACAGACACACCCCTCCACCTCCAAAGCACACTGAACTTTGACCTATTCACTGTCCTTTGAGTCACTGTACTGTCAACCCAGCTGTCTCTACCCTAGGTCTCTCAGAAGTGAACACAAGGCCATTTGTATGCTGAGAGAACAACACCCAGCATACTGTGCCCTGAACACTGGCTCCCACATCATCGTTGCAAAACACAAGTAGTTCATGTCTCTAACAAGTCCGGTGCCACCCTGTCTCTGAGATTGCATAAGAAAGCACCCAGGCTTGGGGGTGTGACTCGGTGGTAGATGGCCCGTCTAGAGTTCAGCTCTGAGGAGCTGAGGGGAGAGCACTGTCAAAAACAAAAAACAAAAAACAAAACACCTCTCTTGTGAAACACCCTTAGCTGTGTACAAAGCACAGAAGGGCAAGCAGTGTTATTTCTACTTTGTAATCTCAGGTTAAGCAACTTGTTCAGCCAGCCAGGAGCATGGAGTAGGCACTGTGTTTCAAAAACCAGGCCCTGTGCGCCCCCCATTCCCAATGCACCACTGCCCCTCCAATTTGCTGGGGCTCTAGGATCAGTCTTGTGTAACTCTCTGAATTTGGAAATTTGAATTGTTTATTGCAATGCACTAAGCTTTGAAAAGTTTCTTCTTGGCACTTGACATAGGGAGTGACAATTTCATGAACTTTGCTTTTATGTTGCTCTCTCTACCAGCTGGGGACCAGTATGAACACGAGCCTAAGTACTGAAAATAAAACCTGACCGAAATGGTCATAAATGTCCTTCCCCAAAGCAAGATGAATGTTCCAAACATACAGCAAATGCAGTCTACTCACACAGTTGGTGATGCATTTGGAAGCCCTGGTACTTTTCTTCATTCCTCAATTCAACAAAGTGTTTTTTGAAGACCTATCAGATCACAGTGCTGGGTTCCAACATAGCTCAGACAGACTGTCCCTGTAGAAAACCATTTTATAACTGAACTCATCACACACCCAAATATGATCACAAACTGTAATAACTGCTGGAGAAAAAGGGATGGCATTCTGTGAGAGCAAAGAAGCCTGAAAGAGGGCTTCTTCGTGACCTGTGAGCTTTGAGAATGGCAAAGGACAGCAGTGTTGATAGTGTGGTCTTTGGTGTTTTTTGTTTTGTTTTGGTTTGTACAGTCCTGGCTGTCCTGGAACTCACTTTGTAGACCAGGCTGGCTTCGAACTCACAGAGATCCACCTGCCTCTGTCTTCCAAGTGCTGGGATTAAAGACACGTGCCACCACCACCTGGTTTTCGGGAGGAGGGGCGCTTCTTGAAGCAGAAAGCAGACTTCTTTATTTAAAAAAATTTTTTTTTGCATTTTACATACTAACCCCAGTTCTCCCTCCCTTCTCCCCTTCTCCTATCCCCTTTATCCCCCCCCTCCCCACCCTGCCATCCACTCCTCATAGCGGATAAGGACTTCTTTGGGGTGTCAACAAAGTCTGACATACTAAGTTGAAGCAAGATCAACACCCCTCCTCCCCGCCCTCATATCAAGGCTAAGCAAGGTATCCCACAATAGGGAACAGTCTCCAAAACTTCACTGCCAGGGACCTCCGCAACAGATCAAGTCACATAACTGTCACCCATATTCAGAGGGTCTAGTTTAGTCCCATGCAGGTTCCCCAGCTGTTAGTCCAGAGCCTATGAACTCCCACTAGCTCAGGTCAGCTGTCTCTGTGGTTTTTCCTATCATGTTCTCCACCCCCCCCCCAACCACCTCCTTGTTCATATGATTCCTCCTCCCTCTCCAATGAACGCTAGGAGCTCAGCCCAGTGCTTGGCTGCCCAAAGGATGTACAATCATGCCACAAGGTTATTTGCTCAACTAAGTTCATAGCAGCATTATTCATAATAGCCAGAAGCTGGAAGCAACCTAAATGCCCCTCAACCAAAGAGTGAATAAGAAAATGTGGCACATTTACACAATGGAGTACTGCTCAGTGTTAAAAAACAATGACACCTTGAAATTTGCAGGCAAATGGATGGAACTAGAAAAAAAAAAAAACATTTGGAGTGAGGTAATCCAGACCTAGAAATACAAACACAGTATGCATTCACTCACAAGTGAATATTAGATATAAAGCAAAGGATAACCAGCTATCATAGCTATGAGCCAGAATCCCTGGAAAGAAGCTGAGTCTGCAAAGGCTGATTGATGAAAACTGCAGTGATATGGAGGGGTTGGAATGTTGCCTAATTACAATTTATTTCAGGCTAAACTTAACCTCCTAATTAGCCATTCCTTGCTCACCTCTGGGCCAGACCTAACATCCTGTGATTAACAGACAAACCCGTTTGGAATCTGTTAACTTAGCAGACCACTAGTTTCTACCAACTCAAATTCCCTTTAACCAGAGTGGTTGAACCATGAATGGAAAATGGACATCCAAGGTCTGAATTCTGGTTTCAAATTTATTATCAGTGTAGCTATATAACCTCATGACAGTGCTGTTCCCAGTTTTAGCCTTGAGATCCTCCGTGCAGAATTTGAGTATCCATCTGATTTCTGAGCTATTTGGTGTTCTAAGAATTTCAGAAGCAGCATGGCCTCTCCAGCAAGACTGGTTTCCTATACCATGAGCTGGTTTCCTCATAGGTCACCAAGGGTGACAATATCTACCTCACAGGGATGCTGAAAGGGCTTAGAGTATAGTTATTTTTTTCTCTTCTCTAAGGACATCTGAATAGATTAGGGTGTCTGAAATGTACATCATCTAGTATGAATAGTGCTTATCTTAAGTAATGAAGTCACCGATGACTTGTTCCCCCCTTTTAATGCATACTCGGTTTTCAGAAATGGCTGAGCATGATAGCATGCATGTACTTCTAATTCCAGTACTTGGGGTGCTGAAGCAGGAAGATGGCTGCAAGTTTAAGACCAGTCAACCAGTCATGAACACATAGCAAGATCCTATCTCAGAAGGCAGAAGCTAAAAGCTGAATGTCATCACCCAGACACACATAAAATAACTGTAAATTATTTGAATGGTAATCATCTCACAATGTGTACATATTTAAAGTCATGTTTTTCATCTTTTAAAAGGTGTGGTGTGTGTGTATGTGTGTG